CAAAAAGAACCTGTGCTCCCTCCAGCCAATGCCGCCAGGTAGCAAGCGCAAGGCGGATTGCCCCCACTTCTTTCTCCCACACCTACCAGTTACGCTCCATGTCATTGAACTTTCTCGACATGTAAGCTAAGGGATACATTAATCCATCCTCTCCCTCTTGGAGGATTGCCCCCCCCCATGGCCACATCTGACGCATCAATGTGCATGATGAATTTTTTATTTTCATCGGGGTGGGCTAGGACGGGTTCTGATGTGAACAGGGCTTTGAGGCGTTCAAACGCTTCTTGGCACTCTTTACTCCAAGCCAGGGCTGCCCCTGGTTTGGTTGCCTCCGGCCTTTTTCCTTTCGTTTTTAATAAGTCAGTGAGAGGCAAACTGATCTGGGCAAAGTTGGGCAGGAAATTTCTGTAAAACTTCAAAAAACTGAGGAATGCTTGTAATTGGTGGCGGGTGCGGGCGGTTTCCCACCCCAGCACATCCCGCACCTTCCCCGGGTCCATTTCCAGCCCCTTATCTGATATTCGGTATTCCAGGAAGTCAGTGTGCGACTTGTGAAACTCACACTTGGAGAGTTTCACAAACAGCTTGTGCTTGTGCGACGTGGTTAGAACTTCCCTCACCAATTTCACGTGTGAAGGCAAGTCGGGGGAATACAGCAAGATATCATCCAAGTAAACAAGAGACCCCCCGAAACAAATGCTTGTGCAACACCTCGTTGATCAGGTTCATGAAGACCCCAGGGGCTCCCTGAAGACCAAAGGGCATTACTCGGTATTCAAACTGGCCCAGTGGTGTGTTAAAGGCAGTCTTATGCTCATCCCCCTCCCGTATGTGGACCAGGAAGTAGGCATCCCGGAGATCTAACTTCGAAAAGATCTTTCCTTTGGCTGTTTCGGCGAACAAATCTTTGATCAGAGGCATGGGGTAGGCGTTGGTTGATGACACCACGTTCAACCCTCGATAGTCAGTACACAACCTCAAGCCCCCATCCTTTTTTCCCCAGAACAGTACTGGGGCTGCAAATGGGGAGGAGACCGGTCGGATAAAACCCCTGGCTAAGTTCTTGTCGATAAACTTACACAGTTCATCTTTCTCGGCTGGCCCCATCGCAATTTGTGGCCCGGTAGAATTTTAGTGCTGCAGTCCGAGTGTCTATGGGGTGGGAGCTCGTCAGCTTCCTCTTCTTCAAAAACTCTGGCCAAATCCCAGTACTCGGGATGGATAGATAGCAGCTCGTCTTGGGCCAAGCAAACCCTAGGGTTCTCCACTGTAGGCTGCAAACCCCACTGCGGGTTTCACCGGTGCAAGTGACACATAGGGGAGATGAATCGCACCTTCCCTTCGTCCCACAGAATATAAGGGTCATGTCCATGCAACCAGGCCTTCCCGAGAACGAGTGGGAACCTGGCAGCTGGGGTGATCACAAACGAACGTTCCTCCCAGTGTCCCCCACCCCAACTTGCAATGGGACAGTCTCAAACTCACATGGTTCTTTCATGGTGGACCCATCCATTTGGGTAGAAATCAAGGGGTCTTGCAGCTTCACCACCCCCGTCTCCAACCCTGTTACCAAAGAGGGGTTGATGAGGTCCCTCCCACACCCCGAGTCAATAAGGGCTCTCACGCAAATGTGAGTCCCAATAATCGCGTTAATAAGAGTCACAGTCACGAAAAATAGAGGGGTGTAGCTGCTCACTGCTTTTGGCGCCTCCGGGATTGGGCCCTGCTGCTCCGCGCCTCTCACAGCAGGACCTGGCCTTTTCCCGCCGGCTCAGTTCCCTCTTCCTCGCTTGAGTCGTCCTCAATTTCCTCCGGGGCAACCTGCAGCACCTTGGCAAATTCCGGTCCCCCGCCGGCTTCTTCGCGGGCTTGGGTTGTTTTTCCGGACTGGCTCCGCCACAGTCGGCCACGAAATGGCCCCATTCCCCACACTTTAAGCACAGCCCTTGTCTCATCCGTTGCTCTCGAGTAGACTCAACGGGGTGCGCCGACTTCACTTTCTGCTGGGGAGGGTTAGGCTTACCCCCCGCTGTTGCAATGTCCAGGCGCAGGGTGTTCAGGCGAGTCTCCGCGCTCTCCGCCTCTTGCATCCATGCCGGGAGGGAGATCGGGTCCATGGCACGTAGGACCGTCTCACGGATCTGGGGATTCAGTCCCACCCGGTACAACTCAGCCAGCACTTGATCCGGCCATTTTTGGACTTTGGCCGTATGGAACTTAAACTCTGAGGAGTATTCTCTCACCGACCGCTTCCCTTGCTTCAGGGTGTGTAAGAACGCCCTCACTTTGGGCCCGGCATTCAGATCCTCAAACTGGGCACGTGACGCCCACATGAAAGCGTCCAAGTTCGCCAGCTCCGAGCCCCTCGCGTTACGTAACCCGACATACCAAGCCGTGGCTGCTCCTCGCAAGCGGGCAGCGACCACATCCACTCGGCTGCTGTAATCTGGGAACAGGTGGCCCGACCTTTCCACAAATTTCATCACTCGAACCACGAAGTATGACAATTCCTTTGGGTCACCGTCAAACGTGGCTTCAATCAGGTCCTTTGGGCGGTGGTGTAGGGGCCCCCTTGGGCTGCCTGGCCATGGTTCTGGGGCCAGCCTCTCTGCTGGTCCCGGCACCGGCGCATCTGCTGGGCAGGATGGTGGTGGGGGAGCTGGTTGGGGTGGGGGAGAACAGAAGCCATCAGCTGTGCCTCCCTCTCAGCCCTTATGGCTTGGACCACCAACTGCGGGATCGCCTGGACTACTTTCTTTAACTCCCGTCTTAGCTGGCGACGTTCCCGGTCTGCCACCTCCAGCCGGTGGGCCCATTCCAATCCCTCGTCCGGGGATACGTGGCCACTTCGCGCCTTGGACCTCTCTGTCACCCATGGTGCTTCCATGGTTCCCCCCCACTGATGCAAAGCCCATATCAAACTGGCTGTCCCTTCGGGGCCCTTGGGTGAGCACATACGTCTCGGCCATGGAGTCCGGATTTTGCCTTATTTCAAATGGGATGTCTTTCAGGATCCGGATGGTGTTATTCCCCATTTTCAAGGGTGTTACTGTAGTTGCTTTCAGAATTAAATCCCTTATGTTTCTCTTCGAGAATCGGACCACTATCTCCCCAGGTAGATTATTTTTCTTGATATAAACGGAATAGGCCCTGTAGACCACATCCATTTCGCTTACAAGATATTCCGCTTTCAAATCTGTTACTGGGGCTAATGCGTCACTCAGAAGTTGCTTTAGATTCTCATCTTTTGTCTCTAGAACCCCTTGGAACCTGAGGACCATATTTGCTTTCTCCATTTGTAGTTGTAAAAATTGAGATTCGTCCAAAGCCTGCTTTCCCCCCCAGCATTTGCACTTTTTTCTTAACTTTGTTGTTCTTGGTGTCCATTTCCTTCACTTTCTCAGCTGTTGCTCTGTCTTTTTTGAAGTTTCAGTCAGTTGGAGCTGCTGAGTTGCAAGGTTCCGATTTAAAGTTGTCAGCTGTTGATTGATGTTAGTCATCTGGTCCAGCAGTGGGCACAAAGAGTCTGCCAGCTGTTTAGAGAACTCAGTGACCTCTTCCGGTCAGGGGCTCATGCTCCCCGCTAGTTTCACTTTTGCCAGTCTGTCTCTCCATCTTCTTCCTCGCCATCTTTATGGATTGTTTACTTTTTAAAAAAACTTGCTAAAGTCTCTGAAATTTACCCATAAACCTGACCGCGCTCTGGTAAGTCTCTTAAAACAGATTTCAACGGTTTTGCTTTTGCTCCCCCCTTGGTAGGTCGCTTTTTCGTTTGTGCATATGGGAGGGGCCCCTCCCCCGCTCGCTTTTCTCCCGCTCGCTTTTCTCTCCGTTCCCAGGGGGTGCTTTTCTTTCTAAATTCCCATCATTCGCTTTAACTCGACTCACTATTCATTGTTGGTCATATGACCTTGCTCAGGATACATTTCAAATGCCCGATCTCCGATGCTTGTCCCAGTCAGCGGCTCTAGTTCCATATGGACACTCAGTGGCAGAACTGTCGGGGCGGAAAGGCGCCTCAATTCCCCAGCAACGCGCTGGCGAAGAGGCCACCCTTCAAAAGCCCCATGGCTAGGAGCCTTTCACCAAGGCTCCGGGGTGGGGGTGGCGACCAGTCGCCCTCCCATCCACTGGTGTGCAGATCACATCCCCGGAAGGTCCGGGAGATGCGTCCACTAGCGTGTCGCCATAAACCGGAAGTCTGATCTCATCAGATTTGGAAAGCCAAGCACAATAAGCCATGGTTAGTACTTGGATGGGAGACCACCAAGGAAGTCCAGGGTTGCTAGGCAGAGGCAGGCAATGGCAAACCACCTCTGAATGTCACTTGCCTTGAAAACCCCTTCAGGGGTCACCATTGGTCGGTTGGCTGCAACTTGATGGCATTTTCCACCACCACCACCAGATTCAGTTTTGAGAATTACACTTCATGTTGGATGACATGATTAAATTACCCATTTACTTGTAGGTTTCCGGGGTTCATTTTAAATTGCATTGCATGCCCTTAGATTTGAGTCCTCCAGTAGCACCTTGCAGACCAACAAGATTTTTGGAGTGTGAGCGTTCCAGAGTCAAAGCTCTCTTTGTCAGAGCATGCAGTTGCATACTCGTGCTACTATTTTACTCCGTGTATTAAACTGGAAGAATTTTGCCTGTTCAGCATGATGCTCTTCAGCTGTTAGTGTAAGCTTGTTGTTGTTTTTTTGCTTGTTTACCTTTGCTGTATGTCACTATTCCAGTTTGGAGCATGTTGGCAGTTCTGTTTTCCTTTCTGTGAGTGGACTTTGAAATGACTGATACAGAGAGAGGGAAACCGGCTCTCGACTTACATTCATGGGCTGAGGTCAGAGGAGGGGAGGCGTGGACTGCCGAGAACCCTCTTCAAAACGGGCTTCACTGGGATTGGCTTGCTGGACTCCTGTAATCACGATGCGGTGCTGATCTGTGCCCACCCAAGTTGGCAGCGTTTTACCTTGTGTATATAGAGCTCTGGTCGATGCTTTTGAGTGTTGTCTTGTTTGCAGGTCTCTCAGGAGTGCTTAAGTGCAGGTTGCTCTGAGCTGTGGGACTGTTCACTTCACTTGGGAGCTCTGTGCTGAGTACGACTGGACATCTATTTTAGACCGAGGAATGCATTTGTGACCAGCAAGGCAGAGTTGCTTGAAGAATTAAATGGGCTCCTCTCGGTCTTAAAACAGCTGGGACACACAGAGTAAGTTAAAAAACAACAACAAAACCTTTAATGGAAAGGGTTTTTTCCTGGAATTTTTAATATTTACTGGAAGTGGGAAATTATGAAGGTTTTGGCTCTGGTTATGTTGTGGTTGGTAAAATCTCCCTCCTGGCAAAAGTACTTTAAATTATCATTAGCATGTAGGGACAGGGAATCAGTCTCTTTAAATACAGTTCTATGTTTGAATTGCAGCAAACCGCCTTAAACATCAGCACTGCTCTCTTTTTAGTGCAATGTGAAGTTTACTCCAGGAGCATACAAGTGGATGTAACCTTATGTGCCATCTAAACTGGGGCACAAATTGTTGACTCACAATATAGGGCTGTATGTTTAAAATGTGAAAAGTGTGCAGTGTTTGAGGAAGGGTCAGGGAGCCTGAGCAACAGAAGCTGGCGAAGGCATTCCTTTGAACGATTTTGTAGCTGGAGATAGTCATGCAGCTGTGAGTTTCTAAAAGGCAGCGTACCAGTGTTTGCTACTCAACTCTGTGAGGCTGTGTAGGTGAACTTAGGACCTGGGAGATGATTTCTTTTGTGTGTGAGGCTAATTTTATTCTCCTTACATTTTGGACTCTAAACCTTGCATCATTCTTGGGCTTATTGCAAGTAATTCGAAACCATATAGGAATGTAATTTGGCTAGAACTATTTTAATTATCATGCCTGATATGGTAAGTTAAATTTAAGCACTTTATTGTGAGTTCAGCCTCTTAAAAAAGAATAATCGCATAATTTATTTACTTGTGTCTGACAGTAGAATCCAGATTTGGTTGACAGATAATTCTTTAATACTACTAGAACAGAATGCAAAACATGTTACATAGGTAATATCTGAATACATGAATGGTGCGAAGGTAGCGGACACTGGTGCGAAGGTAGCGGACATTACGCGTGTTTTAGATAGGCTGGTAGATACGCGTGTTTTAGATAGGCTGGTAGATAGTGCTGGGGAGGAGCCAGTGGTCGTGGTGCATGTCGGCACCAACGATGTGGGGAAATGCAGTCGTGAGGTCCTGGAGCAGAAATTTAGGCTGCTGGGCAGGAAACTTAGGTCCAGGACCTCCAAGGTAGCCTTCTCAGAAGTGTTACCTGTTCCACGCGCAGGGCCGGAGAGACAGGCAGAGATCAGGAGTCTCAATGCGTGGATGAGACGATGGTGTAGGGGGGAAGGGTTCAGGTTTGTTAGGCACTGGGATACTTTTTGGAACAAGAGGGAGCTGTACAGGCGAGACGGTCTCCACTTGTCCCGAGAAGGAACCAGGCTGCTGGCACTTAAAATCAAAAAGGTGGCAGAGCAGCTTTTAAACTGAATATTGGGGGAAAGCCGACAGGAGATGAAAAGTCTCTGGTTCGGGTTGGCTCATCTGAGAGAGGTGAGGGGGTACCGGTTGCTTTTCTACAGGGAGGTGGATTGAAATTGTCCACAGAGGCCATGGCTGGTGACATGGACTGCCGGACAACGACTCGAGATAGCAAGAGGAAGGATGCAGGCTTAACTTGTAAGGGAAATTACAGCTGTTTCTATACAAATGCTAGAAGTGTCCGAGGTAAAATCGGGGAGTTGGAGTGCTTGGTGTCAGAGGGAAAAATAGACATTGTGGGTATTTCTGAAACTTGGTGGGATGAGGAAAATCAGTGGGACACAGTGATTCCCGGTTATATATTATATCGGAAGGATAGGGGGGGAAGGGTTGGAGGTGGGGTAGCTCTGTATGTCAGAGAGGGTATAAAGTCTAGAAAGATTGAGAGGCTAAGTGAATTGGATTCGCTTCTGGAAGTTCTATGGGTTGAAATAGGGGGGCCAAAAGGAAACTTAACACTGGGAGTTTGTTATCGCCCACCAGATCAAAAGATAGAGGAGGATTATAAAATGATGAATGCCTTAAAGATAGCAACTAGACAAAAACACTGTGTAATAATAGGTGATTTTAACTACCCACACATTGATTGGGTCAATATGTGTTCTAGCCGGGAAAAAGAGATTGAGTTTCTAGACACTCTAAATGACTGTGCTATGGAGCAGATGGTCACGGAACCTACCAGGGGAGAGGCGATCCTTGATTTGGTCCTAAGTAACACTCAAGACCTGGTGAGAGATGTAAAAGTGATTGCACCGCTTGGAAACAGTGATCATAATGTTGTTGAGTTCATCATTTGTACAAATAGAGAATTGGCCAAAAAGACTCACACAACCATTTTTAACTTTAAAAGGGGTAATTTCTCTGATATGAGGGGACACGTGGGGAGGAAACTGAAAGGAAAAGTAGAAAGGGTCAAAACAATTGGGGAAGCTTGGGATCTATTTAAAACTACGATCCTAGAAGCTCAAAAAATATATATTCCGCAGGTTAGGAAAGGCACAAACAGGTATAGGAAAAAGCCTGCATGGTTAACAAACAGAGTAATGGAGGCTGTAAAAAGTAAAAAGAATTCCTTTAAGCAGTGGAAAGCTAGTCACAGTGAGGCTGATAAAACGGAACACAGGCTATGGCAAATAAAATGCAAGTCTGAGGTCAGGCAGGCAAAAAGGGAATATGAGGAGCATATAGCAAAAAACGTAAAAACCAACAATAAAACTTTCTTCAAATACATTAGAAACAGGAAACCAGCCAGGGAGGCAGTGGGGCCCTTGGACGACCAAGGGGTAAAAGGAGTATTGAAGGATGATAGGGAAATGGCTGAGAAGCTAAATGCATTTTTTGCCTCCGTCTTCACTGTGGAAGATGAGAAGTGCTTGCCCACTCCAGAACCACTGATTTCAGGAGGGGTGTTGAAAGACCTGAGTCAGATTGAGGTGACGAGAGAGGAGGTCCTAAAACTGATAGACAACTTAAAAACTGAAAAATCACCAGGCCCAGATGGCATACATCCGAGAGTTCTGAAAGAACTCAAATGTGAACTTGTAGATCTCCTGACAAAGATATGTAATCTTTCCTTAAAATCTGCCTCCATTCCTGAGGATTGGAAGGTAGCTAATGTCACTCCCATCTTTAAAAAGGGTTCCAGAGGAGATCCGGGAAATTACAGGCCAGTCAGTCTGACGTCGATACCGGGTAAATTGGTGGAAACCATTATTAAGGAAAGAATTAGTAGGCACATAGATGAACAAAACCTATTGAGGCAGACTCAGCACGGTTTCTGTAAGGGAAGATCTTGTCTCACTAACCTGTTAGTGTTCTTTGAGGGGGTGAACAAACATGTGGACAAGGGGGATCCAATAGATATTATTTACCTTGACTTCCAGAAAGCTTTTGATAAAGTTCCTCATCAAAGGCTCCTAAGTAAGCTCAAAAATCATGGGATAGAAGGACAAGTCCTTTTATGGATCAAAAACTGGCTAGTTCATAGAAAACAGAGAGTGAGTGTAGGTGGGCAATTTTCTCAGTGGAGGGTGGTAAGCAGTGGGGTACCGCAGGGATCAGTACTTGGTCCACTGCTTTTTAACTTGTTCATTAATGATTTGGAGATGGGAGTAAGCAGTGAAGTGGCTAAATTTGCGGATGATACAAAGTTGTTCAGGGTGGTGAAAACCAGTGAGGATTGTGAGGCACTCCAAGGGGATCTGTCAAGGATGGGCGAGTGGGCGTCAACATGGCAAATGGGGTTCAATGTGGCCAAGTGCAAGGTGATGCACATTGGAGCCAAAAATCCTAAATATAAATACACATTGATGGGGTCTGAACTGGCAGAGACTGAGCAAGAGAGAGATCTTGGAGTTGTAGTGGATAACTCACTGAAAATGTCGAGACAGTGTGTGACTGCAATAAAGAAGGCCAATGCTATGCTGGGGATTATTAGGAAGGGTATTGAAAACAGATCAGCCAATATAATAATGCCCCTATATAAATCAATGGTGAGACCTCATTTGGAATACTGTGTGCAGTTCTGGGCACCACACCTTAAAAAGGATATTATAGCTTTGGAAAAAGTGCAGAAAAGGGCAACTCGAATGATAAAAGGGTTGGAACACTTTCCCTATGAGGAAAGGTTAAAGCGCTTAGGGCTCTTTAGCTTGGAGAAAAGACGACTGAGGGGTGACATGATCGAGGTTTATAAGATTATGCATGGGAAAGAGCAGGTAAAGAAAGAGGTACTTTTCTCCCTTTCTCACAATACAAGAACTCGTGGGCACTCCATGAAACTGCAGAGCGGTCGGGTTAGAACGGATAAAAGGAAGTACTTCTTCACCCAAAGAGTGATTAACACATGGAATTCACTGCCACAGGAAGTGGTGGGTGCTACAAGCATGGACGGCTTCAAAAGGGAATTAGATAAGCATATGGAGCAGAGGTCCATCAGTGGCTATTAGCCACAAGGTATAGCTAGGGGCTCTGGGGCAAGTGATGCTCTGTCTTCTTGGTGCTTGGGGGGGGGGTCAACAGTGGGAGGGCTTCTAATGTCCTGGCCCCACTGCTGGACCTCCTGATGGCACTGGTATTTCTGGCCACTGTGTGACACAGAGTGTTGGACTGGATGGGCCTTTGGCCTGATCCAACATTGGCGTCTCTTATGTTCTTAAACACAGATTACATGCCAACTGTTGCAAAATAACCACCAGCTTTTATGCCAGGGTGCTTGGGTTTAGCTTGCTGCAGTGATTCCTTATTCTGTATGGCTGCCTGGTTAAAAGTTGGCAAAGGAAGAGGAGTCCTGCTTTATTCTTTGTGTTTGGGCACACGTGCTTGTTTGTAACCTTGCTTCTGAATTATTGCGGCTTCTCATTAGGCTTCTATGCTGTGCCTATATTGAGATGCCAATTATTATGGTATTAAAAAATAAGGAAACTAACATTTTCTGTTTGACTCTCCTTGCCATTAGATATTTTGTTGTCGTAAATACCTGGTGTGTGTATTCAGATGCAACTTTGAGTAGTATTAATTGTTTTTTCAGGCAAAGTATAGACATTAAGAAGTTCCAGCATGGAACTTCTGTTGGTGCCCTGTGAGCTGAGAATATCAAACACTGGCAAAGATTTGCTGGG